GAGCCCCCCCCACCCCTCCACCCCCCCCCCCCCAGCGCCTCCTCCCTACTTAACTCATTTCCATGTCACTCCTAGACATCCTATCATTTGTAAATACTTTAACATGAGTCTCTAAAAGGTAAGGGTTCTTATTTTTAAAAACAATCCTAACCGGTATACCCATATCTCATCTAAAAATATTAACAAGTCTTTCTTCATCCCACTGTTGTGTCCGTGTTTAAGGACCGGAGCGTTGGCTCTGGCTGGGGTTGGTCTGAATGGGCTCCCACAGGGGGTCCCTGCCTCCCTCTATTTGCTGCCTCCTGAGCCCTGGGCTGGGCTCCAGGCAATGAATGAACCACCGGCTGTCCCAGGCAGCCTGCCTTTCTAGGCGTCCAGGCCCAAAGCACCTCACCCCTCACCCCTCACCCCTCACACCAGCTAGCCCGCCTCCCGCCTCCCCTCTCAGCCAGGCTGGCCCCTGGAGGGCCCTGTGAGCTCCTGGCTGGGGGGCGGCTGGGGGGCGGGGCAGCCGGGAAGGGGCGGAGGGCACTTACCTGAGGTGGTGGAGGTCCAGTTGCTGTCGGCTGGGGTGCTCTCGTTGACTGTGAAAGCCTTGGCGAGCCGCAGGCTAAAACCCGCCAGCAGCAGTGGACAGAAGGGCTCCATGGCAAACCTGGAAGAGGCAGGAACCGGCTCAGGGGACGCCCCTCCCCCAGGTGGACACGGGTGGGCTGGGACGGGTGGCAGTGGGAGCTTCGGCAGCACTGATGCCTCAGTCTGAGCTGGGGGGAGGGGACCCTGAACCACAGGAGCGCAGTCTGTTCTGCACGTGGCAGGAATTTCTCCCTCGGAGGAGTCAGGTTGGCAACCCCGGGAACTCGCCCGGGCCCTCAGGGTCCTGCTGTCCGGATTAATTTCCTTTTGTGCCTGTGTGTCTGTGTGTCTGTGTGTCTGTGTGTCTGCTCAGGGGGAGAGGGAGGCGACGAGGACGTGGAGGGGCCCAGGAAGAAGACACTCCCCAAACACCACAAGATCCAGGGCTCTGAGAGGCCGCTTCCCAGACCCCAAAGAGGCCTGTCCCCGTTCCTTCTCGTGTCCTCGTGACGCCGTCTGCTGACAGCTAGGCACACGGCGCTGTGCCCGCCGTGACATGGTCCAGTAGTTCTGGTTCACACAGGTCGGCCCAGGGAAGACCGGCCCCTGAGGCAGAACCGGCTCAGAAAGGAGTGGGGGAGACAGCCCGTGTCTCAGCTGGGGGCCAGGCCACCTGCATGGGGTCCTCTCTGCTGTCCCCCGGCCACACCACAGCCTGCACCCCGGCTCTTAGTCTGAGAGCAGGCCTTGCTGTCTCCCTCCAGAGCTGTGCACACAGGCCCCCGGGCCCCCACCGTCCCCCCACTCCAGAGCAGTGCAAACAGGCCCCCGGGCCCCCACCGTCCCCCCACTCCAGAGCCCGATTCATCATGTGAAAGCCCAGCCCAGTCCTCTCACTGCATTAAAAAAATCTGCTATTGACTATGGCTAAAATATATATAATCTGCTATTGAATATGGCTAATATATATATCTTATTGATTTCAGAGAGGAAGGGAGAGGGAACGATAGAAACATCAATGATGAGAGAGAATCATGGATCAACAGCCTCCTGCACGCCCTCTACTGGGAATTGAGCGTGCAACCCAGGCATGTGCCCTGACCAGGAATCAAACTGTGACCTCCTGGTTCATAGGTCGACACTCAACCACTGAGCCATGCCAACAATACTTTTAATATGTTTGAGTAAATTACAGAGGAATTGAGTAGGCACGGAGTATTCATTGGCTTAACACAACTCATAGAGGCAGAATTCCTAGTCACGTGCATTCATTTGAAAAGACCCCTCCCCTAATGTTGACCAATCGAATTGGAGGCCAACACTCTTGACCCAAAGGTCATCCTCTTATCAGGCATCTAACACCGAGTGATTTTCCGGGGACGGCCAGCAGAGGGCACTACACCTTGCAGACTTCAAGCCTGCCCACCATCCAAGTCCCTTTCCTGGAGCAATTATGTTGCCAGACCAACCAACTTGTCAGGCCCCGGACACTCGCCCTCAAAGGGCGCTCACCAGCCACCTGATAAGCACAGATACGCATCCGACAAAAATAGCGCGTGGGGTAGCAGTGAACTCCATGCTGAATGCTCACCATTTTATTGAATCAGTTTACTGAACCCTCACAACCCCTCCGTGCCGCTGGGGCATAAAATACATCGGCTCTCCGGAACCGAGAAGACCAAAACAGTTTATTTGCAGCAAAGCGGACGCTCCTTTTGCTCCCAGCAAAAGCCAGGCAGCTGCCGTTCTGATTAGAATTGCCTTTTTATTCCATTTGGCGAATTTTAAAATAAATTTATTCTTATTGATTTCAGAGAGGAAGGGAGAGGGAGAGAGATAGAAACCTCAATGATGAGAGAGAATCATTGATCGGCTGCCTCCTGCACGCCCCACACTGGGGGAGGGAGCCCGTAACCCAGGCCTGTGCCCTGACCGGGACTCAAACCCTGACCTCCTGGTTCATAGGTTGATGCTCAACCACTGAGCCACACCAGCCGGGCCCATCCGATGCCTTTTTAATACTCTTTGGTGGGCAGCTACCCTGGGGCTGGTCATGGCCTGGCTCCAGGTGTCCTGGGGACCCAGGGACTTCCCATTTCTGGCGTGGACGCCCACCTGGGCGGGCTCACTGCAGGCACCCCGTCAGCTGGACAGTGATGGCCCGAGTACCACAGAGAAGCTCGCAACCCAACAAGCGCCCGGTCTTCCCACTCTGTCCCCAGCGGCGAGCAGCCGAGGTTGGACCCGAGGACGCGGCATCAGGCTGCTCTCCCTCCCGCTCAGATGTGTAGGTGACACACGGCACCAGGTGGCTTTGAGACAACGCAAACTGAGGCCCACACAGCGCCCCGGCCAGGCCAGTGAGGGGCCCAGGGACAAGGACGGACAGGACCGGTCTTATTTCTGCTTCCGCGGACTTTGCCATCAGGAGCCAGAGAGCCCTGTAGGTCACTAACCACAGGACGGTCTCATAGGGCAGAGAGGGGGACGCACATCCCAGGGGGCCACTGTGACCCGAGGGGACATGGACCAGGAAGGGCGCTCCGGGAGGGGCAGAGGCAGGAGGGAGAAAAGCCCAGGTGAGGTGGCCGGGCCTGGCGTGTGGCAGGAGGGCGTGAGGGCTGGCAGGACGACAGGCTGACACAGGGTCTCCAGGTCTCCCAGGGTGGGGGCTCCTGCTTGGGAATGAAGGGACCAGAAGCTAACGGCGGGAACCCTGCCTTCCTGGCCCCCCGAGCTCAGCGGGGGCCACGCGGGGAGCCAGGAGCCCGGAGCCCAGCACGCTGCCCTCTCGCTGGGCTCGGGGGTGGTGCAGCTGCGTGTGGGCAGAGGCAGGGCCAGGCAGACATGGTGCTCCTGCTCCCAGGCCTCTCCCGGGGCTGCCGGCCACAGTGACCTTCGGAGGTGGCGGAGAGGAAGGGCGGTGGCCACTGCAGGGGGGCAGGTGTGGAGGAAGTTCCTCTGTGGCTGCTCCTGTGTCTAGAGAGGCCACCTGCCGTGCCAACACCCACATCCCCACCTGCCCGCAGGTGAGCGCTGCGCCTGGCTTCCCTGCGTAGCTAAGAACGTCCACTGCTCCTTTCTGGAAGCGTCTGAGGACAATGTATGTGACGGGCTGGCTGTGAGCCTACAGTGTCCCTGGGAATTCAAGGCTTCCGCTGCCAAGTCCCTGCTCACTGTCCTGGCCTCGAAGCCACCTGTGACGTGTGTCACCTACACATCTGAGCGGGAGGGAGAGCAGCCCGATGCCGGGTCCTGGGGACCGACCTCCCGGCGCTGAGGGCTGCCCTTTGCGTGGCCACCACTGCCCGTCCACTGTCTCCTCCGGGCACGCACTTGGGTTGCTGCTGCTTTTTCATTATGAGCAAAGCTTCTGTGAACTTGGGTCATGTGGACAAATGTTCCTCATTTTCCAGGGACGAATGTCTACCAATGGACGTGCTTGGGTTTGAGGAGGAGGCAGGTGTGTGCTTTTTGTTGGTTTATTTACTTTTTTAAATCCTCACTCGAGGATATTTTTTCCAGTGATTTTTAGAGACACATTGATGGGTTGCCTCCCGCACGCCCCCTACAGGGCTGGAAGCCTGCAACCGAGGTCCATGCCCTTGACTGGAATCGAACCCGGGACCCTGCAGTCCGCAGGCTGACGCTCTGTCCACTGAGCCAAACCGGCTAGGACGCTTATGATTTGTAAAAGGCTTTAAATTAGTTTGAAATAGTTACAAAAGGGGAGAGGCCAAGTACAGGCTGGAGACGAGGCTTCTCTTGGGACACCTGGTGCAGCCTGCGTGGCTGCGTGGCCGTGGATCGGCCCCTCGGCTGGAACCTGGGCTTGCCGAGTGCCAGGTGGCCCCACGCTGCCCCTTGCTGGCCGGGCCGCCCCTCCTGCCTCCTTTACCACACGGCCTGGCCCGTGGCTGCCCCTCCCCGGGTGGACAGGCCTCCGCCACCAGCACCCGCACGCACAACTCAACAAACGAATCTGAAACTGGGTGGGGCTGGTTGTGCTCCGGACTCTGAGAGAGAAGTTTCAGTGATTCCCAGGGAAACAATTCCTTGTCAGCCCACCGCTATCCACGGTTGGGGAGGCTTTTAATGTGGTTCCCTCTCCCTGAATATGCTTCGGATGCACCACTTTTAATCTTCTTTTATTAAAAATAAATCCACCTTCCCGCCCGGGCCTCTGGGGTAAACAGCTAATTAGGGCAGAAGCCGGGCCAGCCCAGCCGGGAAGGGCGGGGGGTGTCACTGTCCCTCAAGAAGGAATGAGCTGCCCGCACCACCCCCCCCGGAAAACATTAACTGGGCCAAACAATGAGCATGAATTATTTATAACCAACCTCTGGTTATTGGGAAGAAATTTACCTCCAAACTGCAACGGAGAAAAGAACTGTCCTGCTTCAGGCCCTCCCTCCCCAGACACCCTAGCCATGGTGGGTACACACCCCACTCCTGCCGGGAGGGGTCGCGGGGGCTGGGTCCCTTCTGAAGACCTGGCCCACTTGGTGCCTGAAGCAGGGTCACGTGTGGATTTAATCTAAGTAAGTCCATTGTAGCTTCATTCATTCATTCACGGGCACTTCCTGCAAAACGTGAACAAAATAACAGGCCCCTGCCCCTAAGGACCTTCCTTCACCCACTTCCTCTGACCACGGGGGACTCTGCTTATAGGACTGCTCTTCTCAACAGGCTCCACTCTGTAATGTTGACTTCTGTCTAAGTCCTTCCTCCCACCAGCCCCCCGTGGCACTCAGAAAGAGGGTCCCCCCATTTCTAAATGACCCCAACAGGTTTCCTAGGAGAGATCCTACCCATTATTTGGCCACAAAAAGTCAGCTCTACGGGCAACTCCATGATTCCTCTACGCACAGTTTTGTGGGGAGAACATCTCTTTGCCCCGTTTGACCCGCTAATCCAGTGGTCGGCAAACTGCAGCTCTCGAGCCACATGAGGCTCTTTGGCCCCTTGAGTGTGGCTCTTCCATGAAATACCGACTTCTACGCATGGGCCATGAAGTTTCAATAGCACTGTATGTGCGCGCCCGCACGTGGTATTTTGTGGAAGAGCCACACTCAAGGG